CGTGTAAAATGTATAGGATATATATACATATATCTAAAGTACATAATAGATATTAAGTTGAAACAAAATAAAACATGAGTTGGAATAAAATATATAATTGAAAATCAAAATTAACCTTGTAAATAATTAATATTTCTTCTAAAATATATTTTGAAAATACAGGTTTTCACACTGCTTGTCGAGACACTGCTGGAAAGAAACGTTGTCACTTGCCCTTGTCCTGCTTCGAGACACGTCGTCTGGGGTGTGCTATCTTGATGTGTTGCAAGAGTTGATTCACCAAGGTTGTCTGATGCACAAGGGCGATAGTCAAATTTGCAACATGTTGAGACAAGTGTTGTTCGCCATTCAGGATGGAATAGCTTGGATGGTAGTCATTTCCTTAAGTAGTGGAAATGTATCGGGTGCAAAATTTAAGTCTGGACGAGTCAAATCTGCACAAAAGGGAGAAAATACCCCCAGCTCAGTCGCTGGTCCAAGAACCTGGAGTCGGGTGGGTTGAACCAATTTGAAGCGTTAGGTGGGTCGTAGAAGCGAGATGGCCACATAGGTGCGAGGCCCAAGTTGGGCCTTGGCTGCCTTTGTTGGGCTTGCGCTGCTAGGGCAGCGGCTTGTGCCTCGCCTGGGGCTTGGGCCATTGTGGATTGGGCATGCGTTAGGTACTGTTGTCGTAAGTCTACAGCTGCCTGGGCCTATGCTTACTGGACTGGTACCCCTGCACCGTGGGTTTACTGCTCTAAGTTTCTTCACCGTGCACCATTGCAGTGGTGGTTGCCGCTACTGGCACGGCCACAGTGGCACCTCGTGGTGGTAGGGTTGCTCCTTTTGCTGAGCTGATCCTGGAGGAGTGACAACGCGGGGCCATGTCACAATCTCCATCTTTTGGTTCAAATCCTTGAACATAAGATGTTTCGTTCATCGTGGTTTCAGAATTTCTCGTCATCGTGTTTCTTCCTTAGGGCTATTCAAAAAATTGACATACAAATTATAAGAATATGAACGTGTGGGTAAATGCACGTATAAACAAAAAATTTGAAACGTTGAATGCAAGAGCCTTTTTCGAGTTTTGGAATCAAGCTCTCAATAAAAACACCAATTTGTGGTAACAAATTTTCGCCGTCTTCATTCTTGACAAATATTACCTACAAAACAGTCAACACCTTTAATCAAAGACCAAATCCTCACGCGCCAAGGTGGTTTGGGGGCCGGGGTTTGGCCAATGTATATCCAATGCCTAACTCAATAGCTCTAAATCTAGTGAATGTTTAGGGTTTTCTGTATAGTGAAAAGTTTATCAAAATCTGGAGGTAATGAGGGTATTTATAAGAGGTAGCAACCGACCATGGTGTAGGATTTTTCCCTACACATGGCGGCCTCCTATTGGCCAAGTTATGTCATATGTAGGATGCGCAAGGAAAGGATAATTTTCAAGATATTAATTAGGAGATAATATCTTAGAATGATGATGGGAATATCACTAATTGATTGTGATAGGGATTCCTTGCTTGATATAGTTGGTTTTCAATTGGGAATGTTTTAAAGATAAGATTTAGTAATTAATCATATCTTTAATGCCTTTGACTTTTCCATGCCACGAGTAGGAAAGCCTTGAGCAATCGTAGTGTGCTACCTATGCTTCCAAGGATGTTTCGCTGGGCACGGGAATATAAATATGACATACCCATTTAATAAGGGCAATCGTGTCTTTCTCAAGTCAAAATCCATGTGTTACCTTATGAATTTTTTAGATTATTTTTTACTCCACATTACTTAGGAGCAACAATATTCTTATTTTACATTCCAATAACCCTAATATTTTCATTAAGGTACTCATCCAATAATTATAGGAAATACAGATATTTAACATTCATAGTAAAAGCAATCAACCTTTGGTGGGAAGCTCCCTTTATAAGTTACTTAGGAAGGAAATGGAAGCCTTACCTGTAACTCGTTTCCCCATTCACAGTAGGCTAACCCAAAGATATAGAGAATGACATACCACTTCAATAATCTATTATCGTGTTTAAATTTTTCTTTACATAGCAATGCATATCGTAATCCTACCATAATGGTATACTTGTCTTATATAAATTGCTATCAAAGACATGAAAGTAATTATGGCAAGCGTGGGAGTAAAAAGAGGACCGGTGCTATATGTTCTTACTGACCACAGTTTATGCATGGTCCGTCAAAAAATTAGATAGGATACACCCTCCGGGAAAGGCATTCGGGGACAGCATGCCCGCAAATCCTATTGTAGCGGTCAATTTTTATTTCTTTATTACTTCTTATTCAGTGTCGGCATTACTTGTATGCGAACATTGTTTCTTTACTGGGATTATAAACAAGAGTAGTGATATCCACACACCATTTTTATTTTTCACACACCTATTTTTACCTTCCACACAACAAGAGTAGTCCTTAATGGATAGTGCTATTTATACATTCATTTTTACCTTCTACACAACTTTGTTATTTTTGTCTATTAATCTTCTTCAGTTCATTAGATCCGATGACCGAAAGTTAAGCAGAGTGTGCGAGAAGTAAAAATAAATGTGTGGATACCACTACCCTAAATAAATTGAACTAGATTTCTCCTCATTCAATTAATTATGCTCATTGTTATGTTTTCACATTCAATCTCTATTTCTTTAATGACAATATATCTGTTCAAGCATCGGACACATGTTTCTTCAATATTTTTTAGAATACGCTTAAATTTTTCTTCAGAAGTCATTATTATAGTAGCGAATTTGTTTTATATAGATTGCTCCCATAGATATAAGAAAATAATTATGGAAAGCGTGGAAGTATAAAGAGAAGTGATGCTATATGTAGTAAATTACCGACCACATTTTATGCATGATTCGTCGTAAGGTGGAGACATTTCTCATGCTAATTAATGTATGCAAATAATTTCTCGTACAGAAACAAAAAATGAAAGTTGACAATGACAGTACTCATATGAAGGTTGTTGGTGCTACATGCTGAATCCAAATCCTCTCCGAATCCTCTTTGTGAGGATTTCAGATATTCGTAAATCATGTCTGTTTATCATACATTATATGGTTAGTTTTCTTTAAATATTATTTGTATTTAATTTTAAATAATAAAATTTAAAATAATTTCTAACCACACGATGTACGATGAACGGATATAATACATGGATCTCCGAAATCCTCACAAAAATGATCAGGAGAGGATCCTTATTCCTACATGCTTTGCACATATATTAAAGAAGACTCGTCAACTTTGTCCATGTCACCGATGAAAGAAAACTTATTACCATAAATTTGACCACCCTTAAATGGTTTTTTTTTTTTTTTTTTTTTTTTTAAATTTAAAATCAATGGAATTGGTTTTTAAGATTGTCAACGGTTAATTATTTTGGTTATTTTATGGAAAAATCTCCGTTAAATTGAAGAAATCATCGGTTTAAGTGGACGAATTGATTTGATAAATATACACTTAATTTAACGAAATTTTTTCATATACTGACCAAAATAATTAACGTGGAGAATTTCTAAAGCTACTTCTATTGATGGTCAAAAAGATAATGGCTACATGTTGAACTTGTGCTGTGTGATTTACATACTCAATTTCATCATCTTCTTGATTTTTCCTTCAGTTACAAATACAATCAAAAGTTTTATAGCGTCCAACATATTCGTCTCTAGGAACACGTGCGTGGATTGTAATTGCCAAGCATGATATTTGTGCGTAGGGCTGCAGCTTGGGTTGGGCCAATCTGAACATGTTCATGTCCAATTCGATTTTAAACCCGAACAAGTGGATTTTTTTGTTTGTTATAACCTGCCCGAACCCAACCCAATTTCAACCCGTGCATTAATTGGGTTAAGTTGGGTTGATCATTTGCGCATTCATCCTCAACCTAACCCAACCCGACTAACCAAACCCAATCTAACAAGATTGGAACTCATATCAATTAATGCTCATACTACATCTAAGTGAGCCAAGTCCAAAAACCAACGCACTTTCCCATTTTTTTTAATAAATTATCCTTTATAATTACTTAAGCTTTTAGGGAATAAGAGGCATTGATTAGTTTGCCCATATTTGTAGTCTCTAAATCCTAAAATTTATAGTAGATGGATTTATGAAATTAAAATTAGCTAGCTTTGATTCTACTTGGCTTAATTTTTTTAGGAATTCTTGGAAACTAAGTTGTTACAAGATTGAACTTGAAAAAGTTGGGTAACCCGAACCCAACCCAAGTAAACCATAACCCAATTAAACCCAAAAAGTTAGGAATTCTTGGAAACTAAGGAACTGGACTACGTGCTTGGGAAATGGCTTGAAGAACATCGACAAAGAAGATTGGAAAGCAAGAATGATAGGGTTGAGAGTGACTTGATGGATGTTATGATATCCAACTTTGAGGAGGATGAAATTTTATGGCCATAACCGTGATACTGTTATCAAAGCAACAGCACTGGTAAGTTCATTTGGTGTAATATGTAATTATGTATGGCACAAACCATACGTTTGACGTTGAGTTATAAGTCATTTAAAATATAACACATGTTCATATTTTAATACCTAACTATGTATACAAAATGGTGCACCCAAGTCACTATAACTTTGTTATAAGTTTATGTGAACTTGTACAACCATACTTAATTAGCATGTGCTCTGAGATTACACTTGACAGTAATCATAAGCAAATGTAATACTAAGTGACATGCTAAGTATAGTACCACATAAATGAACTCTTATTTAATTTTTTTTACCAATTGACGTGATGCATAACATGTCAATTTTTTGTTGCAAATAAATAAGCTTCAATTATATCATATCAGTTGGATTGGAAAAATTGGATTAATTTGTTTTCTATTTTCCTTCCTTTTGCAGGTGATAATGGCAACTGACACAGAAAGCACATCTGTGACACTAACGTAGGCAATCTCCTTACTCCTCAACAACCAAAAAGTCCATAATTCTGCCCAGGAAGAGTTGGACATCCACGTAGTAAGAGACCGATGGGTTCAAGAATCAGACCTCACAAACCCAAATACCTCCAAGCCATTCTTAAGGAAACCTTATGCCTACACCCACCTGGCCAAATCACAGGCCTCTGTGAGGCCATGAAGGACTATCATCTTGGTGGCTACTTCGTCCCCAAGGGCACTCATTTGCTAGTCAACATTTGGAAGTTGCAGCGGGATCCACGCATGTGGGCCAACCCTTGTCAGTTTCAACCTGAGAGGTTCATGACCACTCATGCTGACGTGGATTTCAAAGGTCAAAGTAATTTCAAGTATATTCCATTTAGTGCAGGTAGAGGTTTTTCTAGCTCCACGCCTTCCTCTTCAGCTTTACCAATGCCTTTGAAGTACTTTGGTTTGATATCATAATGTGCATGGGCATGAATTAGTTATTAAGCTATAGAAATAATGTGATTTGATGATTTGCAGCAGCAATATTGAAGTATATATTGTGAAGGATTGATGTATGAATGAATCCTGAATTTTTTTTCTATTTCCAGTTTGTTTTTTTCAAACCTTATTGATAGGTAATTTAAATATATTATTCAAAGTAAAACGTTTTGTATTGCCCCTATGATCTACTTAAATCACACACATCAAAAGTTATCAAATTTTTGCATGTCCTTGTAATAAGTTGGTTGATTCCTAATGTTACCAATTTGCTTTAAGTAGAACATTAACTTCTGTCTAATACTACTTAATTGGTCACTCAATATTACGGTCTGGTAATATTCCTTTTCGCTTAGAAGTGAGAGGTCTTAGGTTCAAATCTCGTGAATGACGAATTCGATACCAAATTAGGCTGCCTATTATGTGGCTTAGCCGGATTCTCCTTTCCCCAAGTGTAAAAATATCGATGTATTAAAAAAAAAAAAAAAAAAAAAAACTACTTAATTGGGAGCAACAATTGTAGAAAATAAAGATATTTAATATTCACAGTAAAAGCAAATCCACTGTTGGTGGGAGGCTCCCTTTTTAAGTTACTTCGAAGGAAATGGAACCCTTATCATAACTCGTTTCCTACTCACCGTAGGCTAACCTAAAGATAAGGAGAATGACATATATATCAAACGAATTTACTGTCACATAGCATCTCATTTAAATAATTTAGTATCACGTTTAAATTTTTCTTCACATATCAATGAAAAGCGTAACATTATCATAACTATGAATTTGTTCTATATAAATTTATTCAAAGACGTGAAGGTAATTATGAAAAGTGTGGGGTAAAAAGAGGATTGATGTTATCGATTTTGGCACTGATTAAATGAAGAAAATGACTCAAATTTTGAATTAACTAATAGATCATCAACACAAACCTCTAATTCATTCGCGGCCATGAAGTCACCGAATGAATTGCCAAGCTGGGGCATATGTGTTGTAAATTACCAACCACATTTTATGCAAGATTCGTCGTAAGGTGGAGACATTTCTCATGCTAATCCATGCAAATAATTTCTCGTAAAGAAACAAAAAACAAAAGTTAACAACGACAACACTCATATTTGGGTTGTTGGTGCAACATACCATCCACATAAATTAAGGAAGACTTGTCAACTCTGTCCACGTCACCAATGAAAGAAAATTTGTTGACCATGTGTTTGATCACCGTTCGATGGAGGACTGAGGATTCCTTGACTAACTGCTCAATCGCCGTTGGAACTAGATATTGTATAGTCGTTTGGTGGCTTAGAGGAAGCGACCTCACTATGACGACCTCCTGGTTGAAGGTTTGGAAAGGGAACCAATCACTACAGTCAAGGGACTTGGGCTTGGCCATGCTTTAGGCCCCAAAACCACGATGGCCACATGTTGGGAAGATTTTTTATTGTAATCGAAATACAGATGGTACATCACATGTTATTATACAAAAAATATAATATGTCCGTTAAAAAATTAATAACTTAAAAAATAAAAAATTTCATCACTTTTTTAAAAGCACATGGTGTAACACTTGTGTTAAAAATTTCTCCACATGTTAAACTTCTGTGATATTATATAATTGTTTTGATGGCTCTTAGGAAGTCACTTCACTATAACAACCTTCTAGTGGAAGGTTTGGAATGGGAACTAAGGTAATTACTGTGCAGGTAATTGGGCAAGGTAATTACTGTCTTAGCAAATAGTAATTGTTCAAGTGCATCTTTACTCCGTAAATAAATTGTCTAGGCAATTGGTATTAAAAAATATTTTTTAAAAAAATAATAAAAGATGATTTTATGTTTAATTTCAGATGAAATTTTTAACCAAACTCGTCGTGACATGTGTCATTATCTGAAATTACAATTTTGTGTGGATAGATTTTTAACCAATCCCCTAACACCAAATATTTTTAATAATAATGCAACTTAATGATTTGCAGCAGCAAGATTCAAGAATTTGAATCATTTGATCTTGAGTAAATTGTAGTAATGGTCCCTTAACTTTAACTCAATTGGAGTAATGATCCCTTAACTAAAAATTCATTATCATTGGTCTCTCAACACATCAAAACATGCAGCTATCCATTACTATTGGTCCCTCAACTCATCAAAATATATAGTTATGATTCTTCAACTAAAAATTCATTACCATTTAATCTTTTTCTATTTTTAAATCATTTCATCATTCAAAGTGGTAAACGTTTTCCAGCGCCTCAACCGGACCAACCCGACAGCTTTTTTCTACATTCCAAGAACCCTAATAATATTATGTTTTACTTCTAGTTTCCTAAGGTAATCAACCAATAATTTTTAGATATACAGATTTAACATTAATAGTAAAAGCAAATTAAACTCATTCACCAGTGGTCCAGTGAGAGTCTCTCTTTTTTAACTTGGGAATTTTCATGAAAATTGCTTGAATTAAGTTTATTTTAATAAAAAATCATGCTATAACTTTATTTAATAAAAAAGATTTAAACTTTTATGAAAAACTCTTAAATTTTAATAAAAATGACAAAAAAACTTAAATTTTAATGAAAATGACATAATTTTAATATTTTAAAAAAAATTGATACGCACATCCGTGCACCCCTCACACAAATTGTTTATGAAATTTACTACACTGTTTTTGAAATTTAATATTACTACACTGTTTATGAAACTTACTATACTATTTATGAAATATACCACACTGTTTATAAAACTTAACAGTAGACGCTCCTCCCAGATTTTCAAGTTCTTTCACCAAAATGCTATAAAAAGATAAAATAAAATAATAAAATAAAAATAAAATAATAAATAAAATAAAAATACAAAATAAAAAAACATGATAGAGATTAACGTTCATGCCATTAAAGTCATGCATGGCTAATAGCTCAATACCATTACTAGAAAACTTGGTGATAAGTCCAATGATGTTGTCAATGATGTTGCCCCACCCCTACCCCTAACCATCCCAACCCATGCCTAACCGACTACTTCCCAACCATACTGCCCCAGATGTGATTCTGAATCGAACGGAACCCACTTCAATTTTAAATTTTAATTTTAGATGAATAAAATATGCTTAGATTATGTCAAAGGGTTATGCAACTGAAGGATTAAGGTGCTCTTTGCATGCCTTTAGTTAGGTTTTTTTTTTTTTTTTTCTTTCTCTTGTCCTTATCTTTTCAAAGTTTTTAAACCATTTTCATTAGTTTTTTTTTTTAACTTACTTCAAATCGCAATTGAACTCGTACATAACTTGTTTCCTTATTTACCTTCATCGGTTAGGCTAGACAAAAGACGTGCGAATATACAAAGTGCATTTTACTACAGTGATAAAAAGTAATAATACATATGCACCCTAATGTGAACATGTACAATGAATGTGGGCGAAAATGTGGGTCTGATGTTAAATGTCCTAGATTATTGATCACAATTTTATACACTATTTGTTAGGCGGAAGATACCTTTCTCACCCTACATTAATACATACAAATAATTGTACGTAAAGAAACAAAAAACAAAGGAGCTGACAATGACAATGCTCACAATAGTCAAATGAAGATAGGAGTGCCAGAGTGAGGCAACCTTTATGTCATGTCTATGTATGAGTAAGTGGAATAAAAGAGTGAAATTGAATTCAAACAATGACATTTACTCCAGTCCTACTAAATATCAAGAAATCAAAAATTTGATGGGACTCATGCAAATTATATTCTCTCAAAAGAAAAAAATAAATAAAATTACAACTTTTCTCATAAAATTTAAAATAAAATAAAATTTCACCGAAAGATAAATAAATAAACAAGAATTAGCATATAAAATAAATTACTAGAATATGGACATTTTAGTAAGGTGAGTGTTATTGGCATTCCAAAAATCTCATTCTACACTCCTCATAAGTGTATTTTTCTTTTCTATTATAGAAAGTTTAGAGTGTAGAATGAGATTTTTGAAGTATTAATAACAATTCCCTTTAGTAATCACATTGATTTTTATTCCGATTCATGTAAATAAGTAAACAGCTTATATAGTTAAGTTCTTCAAATTTAATGTGTACGATAAAAAAAAAGATTTACATATTGTAACATTAATGAATTCAAAATTCCAAACACCACATAACAGTACGAAGCACGGAAAAATTAGTCAGGCGAAGTGAAAATTTAAACCCAAATTAAAGGTTCGGTAGATAATTATTTGTCAACGAGATGGGTGGCAAGGCCCATGATCAATGACATGGGCTCAATCCAAAGTCCAACTTGTCCTTTCCCAGAAAACAGAATCTGAAGGTCTGAAAGACGAAGTAATTGACGATTGGGGGAACTGACACTTGGAAATCTCCCAGGAAAGAAAACATGGCTGCCGATTTCTGGACTTCGTCCCACTAGTATGCTCTTTTCGAACCCGAAATTGTTTTATATGAATAACTCTCAAAGACATATATGAAAATAATTATGGAAAGCGTGGAAGTATAAAGAGAAGTGATGCTATATGTAGTAAATTACCGACCACATTTAATGCATGATTCGTCGTAAGGTGGAGATATTTCTCGTGCTAATTAATGCTGCAAATAATTTCTCACAAAGAAACGAAAAATGAAAGTTGGCAATGACAGTACTCATATGTAGGTTGTTGGGGCTACATGCAGAATCCGGATCTTCTCCGAATCCTCTTTGTGAGAATTCCAGAGATATATGATGTTCGTTCATTGTACATCGTGCAGTCAGTTTCTTTAGATACTGTTTATGTTCAATTTTAAATAATAAAATTTAAAATAATTTTTGACTACACGATGTACGATGAACGAACACGATACATGAATCTTCGAAATCTTCACAAAAAAGATCAAGAGAGGATCCTTATTCCTACGTGCTTTGCACATATATTAAAGAAGACTTGTCGACTTTGTCCACGTCACCGATGAAAGAAAACTTATTGACCATAAATTTGATCACCCTTAAA